GTAATCATCGATCACATCACTCATGACAACAAATTCATTGATTTATTTTAAAAATAACCCAGCATCCTTGAAGGCAGGGTTGAAAATTCTCTAGGGAGAATCACCCGGGTGCGAGAGATATCATTCTCTTGGGTGAATCTCTGCTTGTCTGCTCGGAGATTTATCCTGGCACCACTGGAGAGATTGTTAGACACAGCACGAGAGAGTGAGAGAGTTGACTGTTTTCTGTTTGTCTGTTTATACACTCACTTCCGTGAGAAAGATGGCAGCGCTAAGGCGTTACTGTTTCTCCAAAGATTCTGGCAGAGCTTACGTGAGTGAGTTAAAACATCAATAAAAAAAACTGAAAAACGTATACAAGGAGACAAAGTGCGAAATTATTCACGAAGAAAAAAGTGCGGTTTGACAACGGTACCGAAAAGGTGGTTGTGAATTTTCTGCTTTGCAAGGCAAATGGAAAAACATTCAAAGTGGACATGGTATTCAACTTGAAGCCGCATCTCGTCAATATTCATCGGGTGTTATGGTGTTGCTAGATCACTACTCCTCTCTCCATTTTCGCTGCAGCTGCTGCGGCATTCCAAGTGCCTTCCATCGACGACTCCCGCTATGATACTAATCGATATCTGTCTCATATCTGTCTCATATCTGTCGTCGACTAAACAGAAGCAAATTTCGCTGATGCACTTCCCGTATTCGCATTTCCAAAATGTGTACATTATGATTTTACAAAAAATTATAACGAAATTGACTACATACTGAACGTTAATGGAAAAAGTAACCTTCAAAAAATCTGTGTATGCAACAAACTAACAACTTAAGTCTTCACCGGGGTGATTCTCCCCGGTGAAGCAAACGAACTCTCTACGGTGCTCCCAAGTGATCACTCATATTCTCTGGTGTGATGGCATGGTGGAGGTGCGAACGTCAGAAACTGTATTTTTTTGCGAAGTGGGAGAAGCGGTATATAGTGAAAACAAAATAAAGATCTCTCGGGTGAGTTTGCTTTTGTCGTAGTGCGAGGTGTCTTTTCAACTCATCACCCTGCTTGGAGCAGTTGGAGTTTTTATTTGAACATAATAATTACTCCGCTGATAAATATAAGATTTCCTTTTTGGCCGTTTGCGGCACCGAGGTTTTTAATCAGGTTAAGCTTTTATTCCCAGGTCAGAGGTCGGTCTCTGTTCCGCAAACTAGTGTCAATCACCGACGGACATCGATTGCCATCCATTGACGGCAATCGAATGTGCAGGAAGGCAGCTTCCACACCTGCGTAGGATATCGCACCCATTCAAACACACATGGGCCGGGACCAACGGCTTTACTTCCCTTCCGAAGGAAGACGTGACCAGAGATTTTTATGCCTCAGAAAAATCCCACCGACCTCGGCTGGGATTGAACCCAGACCCATTGGGGTGTTAGAAAGCAGTCACGCTTACCACTACACCACCGGCGCCGGCTGTTAAAGATTTGACCTATAAACAAATTACTGATGAATTGAAGAAAAGGTATGACAAGAAAGACTCTGACGTCATACATACTTATAAATTTTGGACCCGGAGACAGGGGCAGCACGAGAAATCCGAGGATTTCGTGCTTGCTGTGAAGCAATTAGCTGAATTGTGTGATTTTGGGGGTTTTAAGGATCGTGCCATCCGTGATGCACTGGTGATCGGAACGTATGATCGACAATTGCAAAAGAGGTTGTTTGATGAGGATGACTTAACGGCTGCTAAGGCAGAAAAGTTGATATTGAACCAGGAGTTGTCGTCGGACAGGACTCGTTTCGTGAACCGTGATGAAGAGAGAAGAGGCAGTGTAGTAGCCAGGTTGGGCAGAGGCATAGAGCGTGTTCCACCCAAGCAAGCTGCCCGTTTTAGAAGCAGGAGCTTTGACCGCGACCGTTCTTATTATTCTAGAAGCAGGAGCGGGGGTAGGAGATATGGAAACAGTAATCCAGAGAAGCTTTTTACGTGTTCCTTTTGTCATAAGACCGGACACACAAAAAATACTGCTTTAGGTTAAAGAGGAGGAGTCCAAGGAAGAGTCCTCGGAAAAACAAACCTTTTGTCAAGTTCATTGGTTCTCCTAAACCTCCGTCCTCTTAATCATCTGGCCTTTTTAAGCGGTTGAAAGAGGATTTGGCTTCCGATACCGATGACGATGAATCCCCTTGTATGATGATTGCTGCTAAAAGTAGAGTGAACGACCCATGTTACGTGGAAGCATTGGTCCAGAAAAGGCGTTTGACTCTGGAGGTTGACGGTGGATCCGCCGAGAGCGTGATTTCCGAGACGTTTTTCCTACGAAATTTTAGAAAATGCCCCATCGAAGACAGTAGTAAAAAGCTGTACATGGTCGATGGCAATAGACTTAGCATTTTGGGGAAAGTAAGGGTCTCGGTACGACTGAATGGAATCGAGGGAGAACTTTATCTAATCGTCCTGCAGGGAGACAAGGACTTTGTGCCACTGATGGGTCGCAGCTGGTTAGATATTTTCTACAGTGGATGGAGGAACACCTTTTCCCGACCAATGGTGCCAGATCAACGTGGGAATGCCATGATGGATGATGACGAGAGGGAAGAAGCTGTTGTAGACATAAAAAATTTCACTAAGCGGCCGGATCATTTCCGCACATAAGCGTCAGCTTAAGATCCCTTTAAACTCTCGCCCTCGTTATTCTCGTCGTTTTGTTTTACATGGAGAGAGTACGATACAGCCTACAACAGAGCCAAGCAGCAGCACTGGTTTACGCAACAACAATAACCGGAAAAGAGACGAGGAAGATATGTCTGAAGATTCCGATTCAGATTTTTACGGTTTCGCTGCCGACTCCTTTTTGTTTGAGGAGGATGTCCAACCCACTCAGACGGTGGTACCTGAAGGTACCACAAGCGAATGATCGAATCTTTCAGGAAATCTTGCAGGATAGGCGTAGTAAAAGGAATCCGCGGAAGCGAAGAAGACAAGATTTTGTATACTATTGAATAGAAGAAGTTTTTGTAATGTATCATAAGAATTTAAATGTTCTATCGCATGTATTTGATTGAAGTTTCGATTTCCAAGCACATTTATTGAAAATTGCTCTCTGAAGTTATTTTATATGTTAAGAAATAGACTCAAGAACTAGTAACTATTTGATTAGGTTCATTTTGAATTTTTAAGAGTTTTTTCTAAAGGAGGAAGGAGCTGTAGTGGCAAGGTCCACTCGGTAAAATGGATAATCCCGCTGGTAGGGCTCTCAAAGCCGAACTGAACCTGAGTGTCGCATGAGTGGAGCAGGGCATGAGCTATGTATCGAATAGAGAAAATATATTGTCTTTTTACTTTGACTGTAAACCAATGTAGTCGTGTTTATTACTCACTGAAGTAAATTACTGAAACCCATATCAGGATTATAACAGTTTCTTCAGGACCTTCTGGTCTTAGAGTTACCTCTATGCCAATAGGCTAGTGAAGTAGTGAGCCAATTTAAAATTGTTAGTTTCGTATTGATTGTTGGTATTAGTGAGATCTTGTATCGAGAAGTCAATGGGAATTGTGGGTTCGAATCCCACCGGTGCCCTTAGATTTTTTTTGCGAATTTTCTCACACACACTTCTTTTGCAGCTGTGTGCTCACTTCTCAGTTTCTTTGTAACGATGTTACAAAATGATACCAGGCTAAAATTATGTACAACTTACTTTATTTTTTTGCCCCATGCCGCAGAATATTTAATTTGAAGCATGGGAATAGCAAGGGTTATTCTTGCACTTTCGTTTGATCTGAGCGCCCCTAGTGGTGGGAGGTTGAACCACAAAATTTAAAAAAAACAACTCGTTGTGTAATCCTATTTGGCTCATCTCTCTCTACCTAAGAAATGATAACGAATAGCCAGCTTAAGGACGTACTGATTATGTACATTCCGAGAGAACAAAAGCCTGGGAAACCGCGTCGGTTAAGTTTGGGGTGAATAGATACCATGAGGCGATGATCAACCTCTTCTTTATCTGATCGGCGAATAGAACAGACGTACCAGAAAAAAGTCAGTTAGTGCATTAAAGCAGTGAGTGAATGCCAATCAGGAACTATAGTGAGTGTTATTGGACAAGTGTCATTAAATGAAATTAAATTTGAAATTAGAATTATATTTTCAGTAAAAGTTAAAGGTGGAAAAAAAAAGAAAATTAAACGGCCCTTGTGCATTAGTTTTTTTAATTGAATAGTGAGTAAAAAAAAATAATACCATGTAGTTTTGGAAAATGAATCTAAATTTAATTAATTTAATTAGGAAAAGACTAGAAAAAACCGTACTGCTGTGCTTTGCCACACGGGTACTATTCCCTCGAGCCGCAGGTAATATTGCATTATATAATACCACCTAACTATGTGCTAGTGCCACGTTTTTTTCATATTTGTAATGCGAACGTTTATTAATTCTCCTTGAAGGACACCAATCATCCTTCAAGTGAAGGTGTTCCCACCGGGTGTAGTGAATAGCGACCTGTCACGCTACACTAGGGACGAATCAGAAGTTCGGCGGCTTGTAGGCCTGTCCTCGTCGTCGTGCCAGCATTCGCCCCTCTAGGGCCATTCGAAGGTCATCCACGCCTTCCCGAGAGGAATTCGGAAGCCAACTGCCGAATTTAGCCTCTCTTCGGCTCGAAGGGAATTCGGTGCAAAAGTCGACCGCGTATATCATCAGGCCACCGGGTGCGAATTTCGATTGACGCCAACAAGGATACGCACCATCGATTGCTCGGCTATTTTTGCCCGACACGTTCGAGTGTCGGTTCAGTCCACCAACTATGGCTTGGCTAATTGGCCGTCGAATGCATCATCCAAATAACCAAAATATCTCAGAGATGGCGCCAGCATAGACATGTTCTGTCAAACACACCCGATGGACGTCAAATGTATATGACATTTTGATTTCGATCAGCTGGTTTTGTTTACTACCAAAAATCTTGTGGTGCATCGTTTTGTACGTTCGGGACATAAAAATCACTTCAAATAATAATGGAATCAAACAAAAAAACCGTAAAAGTTCTGCGTGATGAGCTTGCTGCACTGGGCGCAAAAAGAACAGGAAATAAAAAAGTGCTTGAGAAAAGGTAAGTGATAGTTAAATGAAAATTTTAGTATTTTACAATGAGATGTACTTTTAGGCTCGAAAATTGGAACAAACACAACCTGAACTCAACTCTTGTTGCTGTTCCTCCAGTTCCTGCAGCAGATAGTAGCGCGTTTGAGAATATGAAGAAATATAATGCGATGGAAGACCTCCCGACTGAACAGCTTAAGTGGCTAACGTTTGAAACCATCAAGCAGTACTTCCAACAATCAATACGAAACTAACGATTTTAAATTGGCTCACCACTTTAGTAGCCTATTGGTCCCAAGCAAACGATAAACGTACCCTATTCTATTTGAAATTTTATTAATACACTATGTTTGTTTTGATTCGCTATGAAAGTTTGACAGATAACATGAGGGGTGTGTGGATTCATGCAGAACATGCAGGGGTGAGTGAAATAGCTTGGGACTGCTTGGGACCGTTGTTCTGGTACTGAGTGAGCCAAAAATAATAATGATTTTCTTCGGGACCCAGTGGTCTTAGAGTTACCTCTATGGTACTTCCATCTACATAATGCGCTCAACAGTTTCAAGGAGGGCCGAAAACTGCATGTGGCGAATCATTTGCGACAAGTTGGATTTGGAAAAGTAGGTACTTATGAATAATGTAAACAAGAATAGCTTAAATATTAGAATAAACGCAATTTCAGACATCTGCGGGAGGTCTTCAAGTTCGCAGCTTTTGTAAGGCTGCAATGAAGAAGCAAGTATTATACTGTGTAATAGTTGAGCTCGCAATCGCAAGCATTTCCAAATGTACTTGCACATGCCCTGCAGGACAGGGAAATTCAGCTGCCTGTAAACATGTTGCTGCCTTATTGCTTTGCTTGGAGTGCTACTTAGAAACAGGTAAATTTTCGTTTACTAAACTATAGTTGCAAAAACTAACATGTAAACTTGCTATTTTAGGTACGATTTTTACTGGTGCTTCGTGTACGTCGGAGTTGCAGCAGTGGCACAAACCTCCAAAACTAGAAGACGAGCAAATGTCAGGCATGCCGATTGATGAGTTATTTGCATCAAAAACTGGTAATCCCTCGGGCGCTGCAAGTTCTGTACGCTGCAGTCCCAGCGCCGAATTTACTAAATTTGCAGTCGATGCTTCCATAAATTACGGAATGCATACCAGTTTCAATAGTAATCGCATGTGTAATATGGTAGCCCTTTTCCACGATCATGACTATGTAACGGCGCCGTTTGAGGATTATGTTAACTCAATCAATTATGTGTCTGAGGATCAAATAGATGCCATTGAGAAACAAACGCTGGAACAATCTGGATCCGCTGTGTGGTTCCAGCATCGTAAATCGAGATTGACCGCTTCAAACATACACAGTATCATAACAGCAATGGAAACGAGCGAAAGAGATTTAAAAGCCCCCAGTACGGTGCCATCAAAAAAAAAAAATTCGACGATCTTAGTGGATTCAACCTCCCACAGTTAGCATGGGGCAAAGAGAAAGAAGACATTGTGTTCAATATGATTAACTCAACCCATGAACTATATAATTTTAACAAGCGTGGATTGTTCATCGATAAACACCGTAATTATATAGCTGGCTCTCCAGATGGTATAAGCGAATGTCGAAGAATTGTATTAGAAATTAAGTGCCCATATAGCGTTAGAAATCAGTCTCCATTGAGTGCCTCATGTTGGGACAAGGATGGTAAACTAAGAAGAAGACATCCATACTACTCACAAGTTCAATATCAAATGTATGTGACTAATGCTGAATCATGCATTTTTGCCGTCTATACTTTGGAAGGAATTAAAACAGAAAAAATTGATTTTGACCACCAGTACATTTTATCAACTATTGATCAGATTGACAAGTATTACAAGAATGTTTTTTTGTGAACAGTTTTGTATTAGGTTTGGAATTAAAGTTTGACCCTGTTCCTTCGAGATTGTTTTTACTCCAATATCTTCTGAAACGAAATTATTCAATATCTGTAATATTTGTTGGTTCATGTTATAAATAGATCAGAGAGCTGCCAACCCATTATTGTGTCTATTTTATTTAACCACTAATCGACCGGGATGAGTTTAATATACTCAAATGGCTCTGTCTTGATGCTTATGTATCTGATTTACAGCAATACAGTGTCATACAAAAAATATAGGCTAAAACCAGTCGTCTCCTTATGATGCCCCCTTTTGTGAGTAGCGGATATAAGTTTGGCATGGAACAAACACAAACAAAGGAAAGACCATATTTTCTTTCAGGATTGTATTGGTCATGTGGCGGCTCCAGAACAAGTTCCCGTGCCCTGCGGGAAGGTGTTAATCAATTACAACATTACAAACAATTTTATGGTAATATAAAAATTTACATAAACATAAAAAATAGCGAATATAAAAATTAAACATCAAAATGTTTTATGTTTATCAAAACATAAAATCATTAACGAAGCTACTCAGTATTTTTGAAATGGGAAACACCTTTACAAATTGGTCGCTTAAAATTAGTTAATTTAAAGATAACATTCACTATCTTATTAGCAAACGGGAATAAAAACCGATTTATTCTTTGTGTCAGAATACGATTATCTTTAGTTAATCCTATTAATCTTTCTACTTCTACTCTACGACTGGCAATGGCTCGAGTATTGGCCACGTCTGCTTCTGAAAGCTGCCCTTTCTTCGAAGGAGGTTTATTGAGAATGATACCTTTCTCTTCCATTATATCGTTGCTTTCAAATCCTCTATCAGCAAGAACATAATCACCTGTTTCTAAAAGATCCAATAGTCCAGACTTTTCAACAATTGTATCGTCTGTTGCTGAACCGCCGAATAATGGGCTCACAAATATTATAAGCCCATTTTCATCAATAGCAACCATGAGTTTGAATGTGTTGCGGTGCTTATATGTGGACCATGTGATTTGTTGTTTCAGCACTTCAGAGGGTTTATCAATCTTGAATTCTGTACAATCAATCACAGCTCTGTACACATTGTCTCCTTTTTCGCCCAGGTCCCAAAAATCAATCGAGTTAACAGTTTGATCAAGAAGTTCAAGCCAAAATTTAAAAATGTTGCTGATCATTTGCTTTGAAACGCGCAACATAATGCTCAAAAATGTATAATCAAAATTCAGCCTAAATTTTATTAGTGTAATGAGCAACTGATTTTTGATGCTCATGGTATAGCATGGCCAGTTCATACCATTTATCTTTGAGGCTAAGCAAAGAATATATGCAAACTGATTTTCATCGAATCCTGTCAGATAATGTAGCTCATCTTGTATTATGAAATCAATATTTACTGCAGAACCGAGTGTGTGAAAAGGATGAAAATCCTTGGTGCGAGATTTAGAGTCAGCTTCGTCGATGATCGAATAACTTGCTTCGATATTCGGTTGCATACATGAATCTGAACCGGACTGCTGATTGGAATTCTCAAGATCAAAAATTATTTGGTCGTACTCCTCTCTTCTGTCAGATAAGATTGTTTCTCCTACACAGTATTCATCATCCAGTTCAATCTCCTCCATACCAGCATGTTCACAATCTTCAAAATGCATTGGTGCTCCTGTTCCCTCGAACGATTCTTGAAAATCGGATACAAACGTGTGCAGAAAAGTGTCATCATAAGAACAATTTAAACGAGAGTTATCTTCACGCAAATCCACCAAGCACATCTCAATGCATAGCTGAAATATATGCAGACATTACAAATCACCAGTAAAGTAACTTAAATGACGAAAAAATATACCTCAACAGTTTTTTGTTTCTTAGTAGGTTCATTTGGTAGACTTTGCAGAGATACGGGATCCGATTTACTTTTTAGGTTCTGTGTAGGAATAATGATTGACGAATTAGTTGCATACCATAAATTTAACTACACAAGATGAAAGTTTTACAGCGGCTTGTGGTGCACTAAACGAAAATTGATCACAGTGTTCCATTCCGAGAGAAAATGTAATATCAGTCTGAGTCTCTACTGATCTGAAACTTTTGCGTTGATTTTTTTCGTTTATCCAAACGATATCGGGACAAGCGTTACATGAGAGTCTGGTAAATGAATCGCCTATAAGTAAATGAACATTTTCTAAAGCTTTTTAAATAAGAGCGATGCCGTACATTTACCTACCATTAGGATAAACAGTTGTTTCATATTGATGATTGCTGAAGTGCTGGCTGCAGATTCGAGCTGCCGAAATATTATCAGGAACTCTATCCAGATTTAGGTTCGATAACCACACTGACAACCGGTCAGATTCCTTCGGAAAGGCATGCAAACGTATTTTTTCTATAGATGCATGCCTTTTAATACCGCAAACACAGCAGAAATGTGCCATTGTCACGCGACGACTTTCCGCACTCTTGAATTTCAGCTCGGATTGGTTTTGTTTATTTTGATTCTTAGCTATTAATCGGTATATATTTGATTGCAACTATGCAAAGGTCCTAGACAAACTTTTTATTTTCCAATGTCTCAATTTTGGAATAAACTACTGTAATGCTGCTTGATTTTATGCAGAAAATGAAAATTAATACCACAGACGAACAGACATAACACATTGAATATTTCTCACTGTAAAACATCGTCGCTAAAACATTACCGCCATCTGTTGAGTACACTGTGGTGGGTAGTACGCTGAACAGATGGCGGTAGTGTGTAAACGTCAAACGCAAGGGAATTGACTATGCGCGCCACATGTGGCGGTACTACCAACTACGATACTTTTAAATTGACCGTTAAATGCTTGTTCGATGAACAACTTGCGAGTGTTATGTCTGTTTGTCTGTGTTAATACATTAACATTCATGAGATAATAAGACGAACTAAAACTTACAGTAAATAAAACTTTTGCAAACATATTTTAAGGTGAGCATCTTTCGTAGTTAGGCCCTTTATTTTACATACATTCACTATATACAGTGCCATCTGTGACGAATTGGAGGAAGCTTCGAGGTTCGCAGCAAAAACAACAGATGGCGTTGTTGTGTCCCTCTGCCGGTAGAATTGTGCAATTGGAACATAAAATGATCCATTCGCCGCCGCTTCCACGGACACACACTCTCCAATAGTTCAACTTGGTACCGCCTTGATCGAACGCCGATACAGCGGTACGAATCAGTGAGGATTGCAACACCACGGCCGAGATTCCGGTAGGTGGCACTGCCAGTTCGCATTAGGGTCCCAGCTAGTACACCGCTGAATACGATCGACTCACTCATCGTCGGTGGCTAGACTCGCTCACTGACCAGCCGTTGGCTGTATGCAACAGTACCATCGAGGAAGGACATCCGAGTAAGGACTCGCCGATCCGTCGCAGGATCAACCAGGTCAGAGATTTTATTTAGTTTTTAATAAACGTTCGCAGTTTAGAAACGGAACCGCACAAGCTAAACTAGAAAAAAAAACATTAGGCCTAGAAGGTGAGAAACACTAGCAATAAAAAAAAAAATGAAATCCAGGAGGTTCAAGCAAGTAATATCGAATAGATTTCAATAGCACAAGCGACAGACCGAAAGAAAGTCGGAGGTTGATCAACTTGTTGTTTAATTTTTGGTCGATACATCTTTCCCATCGTTGGTTTCTTTTGTGGTTGCGAATGGGACGGTAGATTGCGAAGCGAGTTGTCGGGATTATTTGAGAAACAGAAAGACTCGCCTTGAGGAGTCTCACCGGGAAAACTTGCTGATCCACATGCAAGCAGATTATAACCGCTTGCTTGGCGCATAAGTGGAGAAAGTTGTCTGATTCTGGCCTCGTAACGCGTGAACCGTTACATCTTCTAACTTTCACATATAGAAGGTTAAGAGAGTATTTCCCAAAAAAGGTACATTTTTGTTTTCTAGGAATGTATTATCATATTCCAAATGTGAATTCAATAGCAAATTAGTGTAGCGAATTTATAGACATTTCCGTAGGTCTGCGATAAGACCGCTGTTGTGTTCCCAGGTAAAACAAGCTTAATTTTATTACTAAACGTAACCCCTGGATTTTGATTTTATTTTGTGGATCGTCAGGCTTTTAAA